GTAAACTAATGTGAGTGAACAGACTCTGGAGGAATTTAAGTGAAGGTGGACCTAATGGTAGTGAATTATAAGGGAAATAAAAAAAAATTACTACTTGTTTAAGTATCTGTATAAATCTGTGTACAGCAGCGGGAAATTCAGGTATCTCAAACTGCAGTGAGGAGGTTGTTAATCTGTAAAAAATCCAGAGCTGCAAACCAGCAGCCTCATTTGAAGAAAATTAATATCTTGTTACTGAAATAAGAAAATGGAAAAGCTTTCATCCATCTCCTCCCCTCCATATGTAAGGAAATTCAGTTTTGCTTGGCTTGCATCCTCTTGCTCTCATATTGATTTTASTCATTATGTGCCTTTTGTATTGAAAAGTTCTAGAGATCTTTTAAATAGTCAAAATTTTTGTATGTTATGAAGACAACAGCTAAACAAATTACCTTTTCAATTGCAAGCAGATACAATTTGAAATTGTGTATATCAAGACTTTCCAAGTTTGCTCCATTGTCGTGATTGTTACTACACTTCAAAAAAAGAAATACTTGAGCTGGGGTGTTTCACATGTTAAACACAAGTGAGAAAACCAGTTGTAAAGACTAAAGAGCTGTTACAGCTGTAAAGTGTAGCTTTTTGAAAAAACATTAAGCAAGAAACAAGTACTATAGGTTRTCCTTGAAGTGTAAACTCCTTTTTGTGGTTTTTATGGATTCTATAAAGTGTTGGCAGATGAACAGTGTAATAAAAACCGTGAGTATCTCCAGTTGTCTGCTCTGTCGCTCTGCCAAATGTCTAACCCATCACCCCTGAGCAGTCAGCAAAGAGACATCCACTGCTTCTGAGGGGGAAAAAAAGGCTTTTTAGAACAACTTCTGCCTTGGTCATGGGTTTGATCAAAGACGCTGGGCTGCACATTCCCATTGCTCAGGCGTGGGGACWCTGTCCCTTGCAAAGGACAACGGCAGGAGGGGGCAGCTCTTATTAGCCTGCAGCAAGGCTTGTCACGCTGTCAGCAGCTCCCAGTTATGAGCCAAGTCAGTCCCCARTGTCTCATTTAGTTCAATTGTTTGGGTGGTAATTGCAGAAGTATTTGGATATGTCACTGGTTGTTCTGAAAACACTGACTATGGAAACTGAGGCTATTCTAAAATAAATCACACTTTTACATGAGACCACCTTTGTCTGTACATTTCTGTGTATATAAGGTTTCACATCCATTTCCAAAGATGAATTAACTGACTTTCAATGAGTTTGAAGAAAAAATGAGAAAGATTAAAAATTACAGTTAGCTAATTTTGCRGACAAAAACCAACAGAAAGATGTCTAAGTGTTATCAAATGTTTTCAATTTACACTTGGCACAATTATTTCTATGCTTAAGAACTGAGAGATGCCAAACCAAGGAAGTAAGCACATGGAAAGCAAACTGTTGGAATTATAAAGARATTAAGTAACTTTTCTGAAAGCTGTTTTTCTATTTGGAGGCCTGAGTAAGGCTACAGAGCATCACTTTGGTAGGCAGCTAAGAGGATAAAGCCAAAACACCAGAACACTGTTGCTTAACCTGTTGTAGAGAATTTACATTCAGCTTTTTATTTCATAGGGGATGTCTSAAATTATTCTAAGTCTAGGTGAGCATATATACGAACTTGTTTAAATAAATGTTTTGATTAATAACGATTTCATAATTATCCTAATTAAAATGGCATTGCATTTGCAATAAGCATGCTAATAACATGGGAAGCTTGTTCTTAAGGCATGTTGGATACTGGACTGCTTTGTGCCTGGCATTTTTACTGGMATTTTATAATTTTGCCTCATTTTGGTTTCCAGAAAGTATTCATAGATTTMCCAATGTAAAATTATAGCCGAAAGCCCATTGAAATAATTTCCAAAATCAGTTTAAAAGCTTCTGTTTAGAAAGATGAGCTCTCTGGTCTCTGTGTGTGGGGTGCTGCTAACACCCTCCAAGGACTGATCCCCACAAAGGCTCTCCCAGTTCATACAGCTCTGTGSAGTCACTGCAGGGGACTGGAGATGTGACATGAGATGCTGTATTTCTCTGGGGGTAGTGTTTTGACAGTGCTTTTTGGGATTCTATCAYTTCATTATAAGCATATATATTGCACTCTTTTCAATTAACATCAGAACAAATTTCTGATTCTAACCTTGTATTTTACACAAGGCATACTGCTTGCATTTACCCCATTTTTGTCAAAGACACTCTTTATTCTGAAGCAGTTTTGGTGTTTCTCATCTTGTCTCTCAGTCAGGAGTGTCTGCCTGGGGGGTGTGTGTCAGCAGCCAGAGGTAATTACAGTAAAACCAGGTAGTACGCAAGACACTCTGCAATTTAGTTTTAATACTCTGGAATGCACGCTCACCATWGCTATGGTGGAACACTTTAACATATCTGTGTGACTGGTGACAAAACAAGTGACAGGGACAACACCCCTCCCTCTAATCCCCTACAGCAGCACGACGACTGTGGGAGCTGAAACAGAGCTGGCTTCTGAATTTCCAGCACCCTGCAATTTCCTCTGCTGACAAATGGGTATGAGATAGCAGCAGCAAACCTCCAAACATTAGTCATACTGCTTTCCAACAAGCAACAATTACATGTAATAGGTACTCTGTCATCTTGCTCCAGCGGAATTTTACAAAGAATTCACTAATAAAAACTTGGCTTATGCTTACAAGCACAATACACTACTTCAGAAAGCACGGGAAACAACTTCACCTCAGTCTGAGTTTAGTAGCATATTGTCAGCTGTTAAAGTTTGAACCACATTTATAAGTTTGTCAGTTTTTAAACCTAGTGTTGGGCTATGAGTTCTTTCACCAATTTTATCTCTATCTATTTTCATATTGCTGGCTTGCATTATAATTCAATGTATTTTTTTAGACATCCAAGCATGTCCATTATGACGTYCAGAAATATGCATTGTCTTAATTATTAACATTGATATGTAAATGCACATATCAAGATATTCAGCTATTTATACAGGTATCCAGCCTCATTAGCCTAATAAGTCTTGCTGAGCCTGCTGCATGGAGAAAAGTGATGTACTCCTAGGTGAATTTGGCATTTCACAGAGGTTATTGTCAAATTCCTTGAACCAAAACCAAGTCCTAGGATTTAATCTAGTTAAAGAACATAGAAAGGTTGTTCTTCTGTTTCTCAAAGATCCCAGAAGCARGAGGAAAAAATATTGTTGTGACTTATCTGAAGTTTAAGTGAACTYAATATACTGTTGATTTGGGATCCATACCAGCATGAACTCGGTTGTAAAGCCTGTGAAGCTGAGACAGTCCCATGAGGTGCCTCAAATTCTCACTCTAGAGTCACCACAATCCAGTTTCTATTAGGGACTGGTATATAGAGATACCAATGGCCTTCTGAGCATTTTGTGGCATCTGTAACATTGGTGAGAAAAAATAACTGATTTTGACTAAGGTAGATGGGTCACCTGTACTTAACCTGGAAGGGAGACATGTCTATTAAAAGGCACAGGTTTTTCTCACCACTGATACAAATAAAGCATTTCTGAGGGAACTGAAGGTGACCTTCATACTCACAGGCCTACTCTAGTTTACCAGCCTATGTATGTATGGATAGATTTGTACCTGTATTTCAATCTGGATTGGATGTGAGTTGAGTTTGCTTAAATACCCGCTGTGAAATGTTATTCCTTTGATGCAGATGCCATTTTCCCCATCAGGCCCAGAAACAGAGTTTRAGGATACACTCTTACAGTAGTGGAATTTGAATCATCTGAGGAAAAAGCAGAGTTGTCTGGATACAGAAAATTTATTCTTTGCTGCTGTTGAGATGAACATTGAGCTGCATTCAACCTGGTTTACAATTTCCAAAGAAAAKGAAACAAAGGAGGAGATAGCTCAAGTGCTAGGAGCTTATTCTGAGGCTGATCAGTGGCAGTTCAAATGAAAATGGTTTGTAGAGCAAAAATCTAAGCTTAAAACCTATTTTTCCTAATGATACATCATATACAGAACTTCTCAGAGCAATCTGGTCCAGTTGCCATCTGCCAGGCTCAGTTTAATGTGGCAGCGACTCTGTCCTTCCCGCTGTTACCAGAAATCCTCAGGTGTGACTGACCAGAGCAGGAGCCCGGCAGTGCCAACACTCCAGGAAACTTCTGTTCACTTCCACAACGCTTCCTGCTGACACTAGGATTTGGGGGAATTTCAGTCTGCTCCTGAACAGCGGCTGTGGCAACTTTAAACGCCAAAGGCACGGCTCGGGGRCTCCTATTTGGGACACAGCTCAAATCCCTTTCCCGAGGCACAGCGGTCAGTGATTCCGCTTATGACAGGCTGTCCCGGCGGGACGGCACCAGCACCTCGCACAGCCTCTGCCTTCCTCCTACCAGGCTCTCCAGAGCCTCCAGGCTTTATCGGACTCCCCCCGAGGARGCAGGAGAGCGTGGAAAACTGGGGTTGAGCCCTTTACAGAGGGTGTCGATGGAACAACGCCCCCGGCCCCAGGACATCCCGAGGGACCGGTGCATCGCCTCCGGGGGTACATCCACCGGGAGCGGCGTAAGTCYAGTCCCTCCTTATTCCCAGAAAAGCGCCTTTCCCAGGAACAGCCCGCGAGGTGCCGGGATCCCGTCAGCGGTCCCTAGAGCGGGGAAGCCCAAAACCTGAGGCATCAACGAAACCSCCGGGGTGGGCACTAATCCAAACCTTCCTTATTCCCAAACAAATGCCTTTCTCAGGAGCGCCGCCTCTCCCCTGCTCCGGTCCCCGCCGCGCTCCCATCACGTCCCCTCAGGCCGTCCTCGCTCCCGTCCCCGTCCCTCGCTCCCGCGCCGCCCCGACAGCGCCCCCGCCCCCGCGCCCTGCGCACTCGGCCGAGCCACCGCCCCCAATCCCCTGAGAGCCCGCCCCCCTCTCCGCCCTGCGATTGGTCGCTCTCGCTGTCTGTCCGGAATCTCCCCTGCCCATTGGGCAAGGCCAGGGCGCTGCCCCGCCCCCGGCGCTGTCGGTTGGGGCGAGCCGAGAGTAAATAGACGCCGGAGCCCAAGATGGCGGAGCCGCCCAGTCCCGGTCGTGGCGCGGCGCCTCCCGAGCAGGAGTCACTCGGCGCCAGGGCGGCCCCGGACGTGAAAGGTTCCCGCGGATCCCAGCCAGCCGCCAAGAAGGTGAAGGGAGCCGAGGAGCGGAGCCTGAAGGGCGCTAAGCGCGTCAACGGTGAAGGGGGCGGCGGTGGCGGGAGCGCCAAGCAGCCGCTGCCCGCGGTCGTGCCGAGCTACAGCGGCCCCGCGCCGTGGGGCTTCGCCACGCTGCCCTCGGGCCCCTCGGCGGGCGCGGGGGGCTTCGCGTTCCCTTCTCCGCTGTCCCGGAAGCTTCTGCCGCCCGCCGTGCTGCTGCCGCCGTCCGCCTCCCCCTCCTCGTCCCACCCGCAGCACCAGCACCGCCACCACCGGCACCGCCTGGCGCTGGCGGCCGAGGCGGGAGGCAGCGGCGGCAGCGCCAAGCCCAAGAGACCCAAGGAAAAGCGGGACAAGGAGAGGAGGAAGCACGGGGCGCTGCCCATGGTGGCGGCGGCGGCGGGAGATGGCGGCGGGGCCCTGAGCCGGGAGGAGAACGGGGAGGTGAAGCTGCTGTTCCCGAAAGGTGAGCGGCGGGGCAGCGGCGGCAGCGGGGGCGGGAGGGGGGGACGGGCGGGCTGCAAGGGGCAGCGAGCTCAGGGGGGCTCGGTGGAGCTGCCCGGCGGCAGCGAGAGGCGGCTGTGACCCGGGCCGGGGGCTGCGGGCCGGGCTGGTCCCGGTCATACACAGYTGGCCTTGTGTAAGTTCGTGGGGAAGGCAGCGGTGGCTCAGTCCGCCGTCAATCCTGTCAAAAAAGGGGGTGTGGAATTAGCGATGGCGTCAGCCAGAAGCTGCCAGAGGCCTTAGGTTTTCTTACCTATTAGGGAAATGAGGATGCCGAGTAATTTATTAGAAATGTGCGAACAAAACTGAATTGGGGAAAAACGGAAAACACGTTGCAAAAAATCACCCCAGTCAAAAAATTAAATCGTGAATGATCTCGTTTCTTAGGCTTTTATTTTTTACAGGCTAAGTCCTTGAGTACTAGAGAGCATGCAGTTAAAATTTATATACTTAGACTTTTGAGGTCTTGTAGTTGCTGCTTCAGATTTTCTTTATTTCTTGAAGATCACATCTCCCAAGGAATGCTCGAGGCCTTCAGGATGAGGGTAGGAGTATTGGGTTAATTCATCAGTGGGGCTTGAAAAAAAATGGCCATACGAGGTAGGACAAGATGTCAGATGAGAGTCTTTCTTGGATTCCTGCTGTGCTCAACAGTAAATCTTGGGATGTAAAAGACAATGCATGAATATATGAAGCAAGTACAAAGCTTTTATTTCCAGTACATGCTTSTATGTCCAGTGTGTCCTTTCCCAGTCTCCAGTGCCCTTAAACCAGATGTTGGTGCTTTTATATTTGTATTGAAATATGAGGAATTTGAAACATGCACTCAATTACCTAGTTCAATCAAGTTTCCTTTCTTTTAAAGTAAAGATAAATTATACCTGTTGTGTAAATTTAGGTTACTTTCATTGTAGCCTATACCTGTAATTAKAGGATCAGCCAAGATTGTARAGAAATAAGCCTTTTTGTCTATTGATTATGTTGTCTGGCTTCCTTACTGCATTTTCCACTAATTTCCATGAGTATCATAGTCTGTGATTCACTTACCATTGAGGGTATTTTTAATTTACTTGGATCTTGATTGGTGATGTACAAGTGGGTTTTAAGTATGTCATTTTGGTGCTTTCAAGTGTTCCATTTTACACCACCTGCCCCCTTATTCCTGTCCAAAGGGTGACTTGGGAAGAGTCTTCATAAATGATGCTCAGTACCTATTTGATGTTGGTAAATCCTTGTCTTCAAGGATAGCTGCTAAGAAGCTCACCCAATATCCTTCTAGGAAAGCTGTGTAATTAATAACCATATTTACTCAKATTGCTGTAGTGTCCTATCAGTGTTAAAGAGTCGTATTAGTCAGTCTTGGAACAGTATTATAATAACAAGATGAAATATTCTTTCACATTGGTGAARGAAATTGACGTTGGTACTGTTAACTGAATAATTGATGTGAATTGTCTTTAAAGAGGAGATTCTGCACTTTGTATCTGGAAAAGATACTTTTCTCAGAGCTTATATACTCACAGGCGYAAATTCTTTATTTTTTTAGTTGCTGGGTGCTCAGAACAGATCTTTATACCTTACATTTATTCCTATAAATATGTACATACAACATGAATCTTCGAAGGTAAATGATGCCTCTTTGGCAACTGAGTCTATAGATTTCTTTTTGGAGGAAGTAGTTTCAAAAGCTAAAATTCTGTGGCATAATTTCCTATATAAAATAAGAACTTCATTTTAATTAAACTATATTTTTGCAGAGAAGACTGAGAAAGTGAAGGATGCACTGAGTCTTCTGCTGAGAGCCACCAGCCTTTCAAAAGTGGTTCAGTATTTGACTGTAGATCAAAGAACAGGTTTGTGCTGTTAATCCTGTGAATAATTTACTTTGCAAAGAGGAAAGGGAAAAATGTAGTTATGATGCAGGGAGAAAAGAATGGCTGGGGGGCAGGCACATAGGATCCTAAGTACAGAGGAAAGCTGAGAATGACATTGAGGTGGGTAGGTGGAATAGTCAGGACTTGTGCACTGGAGGTGCTGAAGCTAGGGCACAGACTGGAAAAAGATGCCAAAGGGACTGTGGTTACAGCATATAATGAACAAATGTGGAATGAATTTGAAATACTGATGTGAAAGGAAAATAGCAGGCAAAAGCAGTATGGAGGGGATTCTGATCTTGTTTTGGGGCAAAAGATACTGTACTTAGGTGCTATAGTAAAGGCCAGGAAGATTAGAGGAAGATAGGTTAGAAGGAGAATGAAAATTTTAGGCAGCCTGGGGATAGGGCATTGGTGAATTTAGATGATTTGGGGTAATTATGAAAAGCTGGAAGGCTTGCACACACAGAATGTATGAGGGGCAGGGAAGCAGAAATAAAATATGCTCCTTTAGGTGTAGTGAGTGAGTTTGTAGAAGCTGTTATCAGTGCACTTTAAAAATCAGCCTCATGCAGGCAAGTGCAGTCTTATTCTTGGAGTCTGCAGTTAGACCTTTCTGCTTTTCATACAGAGGGAAAGAAGCTGCAATGTGGAATTGATGGTGTTGATAGTTTTTCTTTCATAGTATTCAGAACTCATATATGTACCAGTGTTGCACCTGCCAGAAGGAAAATTGTGCCAGTGGGGTGGCTAGAGGTATAGAGGCAGAAATACCAAGCGATAAGCAGGTGGAATGGGTGAGAGTTTCTTGGTTGTTTTGAGGCTCTGAAAATGAAAAAAGTTCATCCTCATCTTTGCAAACAAAATGGAGATGCATTGTGGGTGGGTACATAGGATGGAGTGGAATTCTCWGTCGTCTTTCTGCTGTTAAGGGTGCCAGTGCCTGTGAATGGGGAGGAGTSGTGTTTCTGGTCAGTGAGCTGTGTGCTCTGTTGTGCAGAGCTCTTCAGTGTGAGGAGAGTAGGGCCTGCACAGATCTCAGTACTAGAGAAAATGAGGAACAAAATCGGGGGAATCAAGAGAAGAATGGCAGAATTTGTCTCATAAGATGCTGTGACTGTGGTATAAACAGGATAATACCGGGAATCGGAGTGTGCAGTGAATGAATGTGAGATCTGGCCTTGAGAGTAGTACAAACTGCGTTTTCCTAATTTTAATTTAATTRCTGTAATGATGATAAGAGATATTGACACTGAGGAGATGGTGAGATTTTTCACCTTGCATTCAGAAAAGCTGATGATAGGAGCTCGTGTTTGTCCTTCACTTGCAATAGTGATTATGAGGTACGACAGCCTAGTTCTGAGGTGCCCTTTTTTCCTAAGTGATAGGAAATTGTTAAGCTTGATAATATCCAAGATGGATGGTGTGTTTAAAGCTTTTCAGAAATTTTTATATTTTCTTCAGGTCTTCGTTTAAAGACTTCTCTGGTCTTCTAATTAACTGCARAAAGCTTTAAGGTGCAGAGTCATAACCAGGCCTTAGCACTTGTGATTCTGTTAAATGAATGGAGTTCAATGCACCTTCTGTGATGATCTACCTTGCAGAGAACTTGAAAGAACCTTTTGCCGGATGCATGATTTATCCTGCAGATAACGAGGTTTAGGCTGTTTAAAGTAAACTTAAATTTCACTTGTCAAGTACATTCTGATAGTGGAACTAAAGTTGTGCAATRTTTTTGTTTTTAAAACAGGGTGTCAGTCTGACAGAAGTGATTGCTGTTCAGGCTATGACTCTGCTGATTCAGTTAGTCATTTAACTGGTATTCTGCTCTAGCAGTTCATAGTTGAAATTGTTTTCATAACAGTGCAAAGCTCAGCTCAGCCACTCCCCACTTCATTAGATGGCGCCTGTCCAGAGCTTTTGATTTTGGTCCCTCTACTTGCTGTAAGGTGTCATCTGGTTGCATGACCCATCTTTTCTGTTTTTCTTGCTGTTTTTGTGTACAATTTCCTTTTCCCTTCTTTTTTTTTCCTYCAGTGATCCATTTGCTGATTAGATTGCCTCAGTGTGCAAGCAGTTGCAGAATGAGACTGACATCTTTTAACTTGCAGGTGGGGATTCCCCATATGAGCAGGAAAGCTGAATGTGGTGCTGTAGCTCTTGCTTTTAATATTAGTCTAYTTTATTTTAACTCTCCCTCCTTTGCCACCTCCCTTCTTTCTCCTCCTGTCTTTGAAGGATAGATGAGATTAGATTTCAGATGAGCGTTTAGCAGTGACACTTCTGCTAACCATTACYCTGTACTGCATGACCTTTCTGGGTTTTTAGCATTCAAGAAGTTACACTTTTCAATGTTAATAATTACAGTTACCAAAGTAGGTTGGAGAAAGCTTTGGATCTTCTTTTTGCCTTCTGTAGAACTGCATCTTGCTTCTTGGGTTGTCTTTTTTTCTTTTTTTTTTTTTTTTTTTTTTTTTTTTTTTTTTTTTTTTTTTTTTTTTTTTTTTTTTTTTTTTTTTTTTTTTTTTTTTTTATACTGTGTGCTTGACTCACTTCCCCCTCCTCACTGCTGAACTCTTTAAATTCAGGAGTAATTTTCATGCTTATGAGGCCTCTTGATCACTGTCTTCTGTATTCTTCAATATATTTCTATTTAGATACCCTACTGCAAGCAACTTGTCTAGAAAGTGTTTAGGGTTTTAAGTGTGGTATTCAGGAGGAGGAGGGACTTCTCCAATTTCTTCTGATGTTTGAGATTTACACGCAGTTCAGTTTTCAGAACTGGTARTGACCTTAATGTGAGTGTGCAATGTTGGAATAAATTTGGAGCACTTCATCTTTTTCTTAAGGGACCTGGGCCCCTTTTTTGTTAAGATAACTTGAAGCTTTGCTAGGCAGTACAAAATCTTTCTAAGCTGGAGAGCCATGCCTCTCGTGTACCCCAGAATCCAGCTTTGTGTGTAATTTATTCAGCAGAAACTTACTCTGATTTTAGAATACCAAATAATTTTCCTTAGTTGACCAAGATCAGAAGGCTGAAACATTTGATCTGAAATCTCTTGTAGAGGCCATGTTTGCCGCTGCCACA